TATTTCCCACCTTGTTGCCTTTGAACTAGCCACTAACTTCTCGAATCTGTGGCAGGTACATACAACTGTTCAGCTGAGGACCACTGTATTCACCCCGTTTTGGCTCCCACAGGCCATCACTGCCTGTCTCCCCTGGGCATCCTTTCCTGTCTCCAGGGGAGCAGTGAATATGAGGAAGAGTGGAGCTTTTGACAGCTGGAGAAAGCCCCAGGCCTGCCTCACTACTGGCTCTGCAACTTTTAGTCTTTGGACCCAGGAAGCAAGTGCCCGTGTGTCCGTCCAGAGCAGACACCTGGGCTAAGACATGAAAGAATGGAAGGATGCTATCCCATCCTTCCATTCTTTCAGCCAATATTATGGATGGTGGGAAGCCAAAGGAAGGCTGGGAAGAAGGAAGGAAAGTAGGATGCCAATGGACATGGATGGACACTAAGTGTGACAGTGCAGTTTTGTTATTCAGACTTTCTATTTCCGCCTTACCTCCCCCAGGAGGAGTGGAAAGAGAGTGAAGAGAGGGTGGTTCCCAGCACTGTGTCTGAGACAGAATATAAGCTTTCTTCCAGAGCTGGCAGGCAGGTCTGCCGCTGTGGGTCTCCTCTCATCTGCCTCAGCCCCTGTGCAGGGCAGCTCAGGCATTCACTGAGTGCCCTCTGTGACCCAGCACTGCTGGGACACTCCTTGTGCAAGATCCCAGCAAAGTGACTCACGGTCCCTGAAGCTCAAAAAAATTGAGATATATAAACCACCACACACAGAGCAACAGTTCCAGAACACGCAGAGCACAGAGGGAAGGAGCCCACCCAGCCTAGGGGGGGTTCCCAGAGCTTCTGCAGGCGAGGCGAAGGGATGTGACCCAGGCAGAGGGAATGAGGCCCCAGGCCAGGTGGGGGTCTGAAGAAGGACGCATGATTATGAACTGTGTCCCACGGCAGCTTGGCTCGATTCATAATGAACCATCATCAGTCTTGCCTGGGAGTGCCGCAGTGTGACGAGGAGACAGGGTCAGGGAGCAGACGAAGGCAAAAAGCGCCTCCCAGGAAAATGTGGATCATGGGGTTGGTGTATGTGTATTCCTGAGTCCGCCCTCACTTCAGGCCAGGCTCACGATCTCACAAGGTCCTGGGCAGAGTTCGAGCTCCCCTGCTGGCCGGGCTCTGGGCTGATGGCTCAGAGCCTGGAGCCTGTTTCACCTCAGGTTCTCCCCCCCCTCTGGCCCCTGCCTACATGCCTGTTTCTTTCCCTGTCCCAAAAAAATAAATAAACGTTGAAAAAAAAAAAAAAGAAAAAGAAAATGTGGACTGTGAGGTACCGTGGGCAGAAGGGGCGATCCAGAATGATGTACTCAGATTTCTTGGCTTGGACAGGGTCAGGAATGTCATGTGAGGTGTGAGTTCCAAGCTGGCTTTCTTCCTTCGGGCTTGATAGATCACGTGACTCAGGCACACGGCCATGTCTCTTGTTGCCTTGAACTGAAATTAACTGAATCTGTGGCACATACAACTGTTCAGCTGAGGACCATCTGTATTCCACCCCGTTATTCCACACAGGCCATCGGTCTGTCTCCCCAACTCTCCCCAACTGTCTCCAGGGGAGACAGTGAATAAGGAGGAAATATGGAGCTTTGACAGCTGAAAGCCCCAGGGGCCTGCCCTCACTGGCTCCCAAACTTTAGTCTCTGGGACCCACAATGTGCCCGGTCCAGAGCAGACACTCAATAATATTGGCTGAAAGAATGGAAGGATGCCATCCATCCTTCCATTCTTTCAGCCAATATTATGGATGGATGGAAGCAAGGAAGGAAGGAAGGAAGGGGAAAGAGGACAAATGAATAGATGGATGGACACACTGGTGACAGTGTAGCTCTTATTCAGACTTATTTCTGCCTACTCCCCCAGGAGGAGTGGAAAGAGTGAAGAGAGGTGGTTCCCAGCACCAGTCTGAGACAGAGAATATAAGCTTCACTCTTCCAGAGCTGGCAGGCAGGTCAGCTGGTCTCCTCATCTGCCCTCAGCCACCCTGTAAGCAGCTCAGGCATTCACTCCGAGTGCCCTCTGTGACCCAGCACTGGCTAGACACCTCCCTTGTGCAAGATCCTGGGCAGGGCAGTTAGACCTGCCACGGTCCCCAGAAGCTCACAGCTAAAAATTGGAGATATATAAACCAATCATGACCACACAGAGCAACAGTTCCAGAACACGCAGAGCACAGAGGAAGGAGCCCACCCAGCTCAGGGGGTTCCCAGAGGAGGCGAGGCGAGGCGATGTAGATGTGGACCCAGGCAGAGGGAATGAGGCCTCCAGCTGTGGGGGGTCTGCCAGGGGCATGACTCAGGCATGACTATGAACCAGGTCCCCACGGCAGCTTGGCTCGTGATCCACGAAAACGATCAGTCTTGGCCTGGGGGAGTGCCGCAGTGTGACGAGGAGACAGGGTCAGGGAGAACATCAGAAGGCAAAAGCGCTCCTAGAAAATGTGGACCGTGGGGCGCCTGGGTGGCGCAGTCTGTTGAGCGTCCGACTTCAGCCAGGTCACGATCTCGCGGTCCGTGAGTTCGAGCCCCGCGTCGGGCTC